TTTGCTTATGTCTTGTGTCATGAAGAAGCATGGAGAAGCTGATGAGCTGACATCGTCACACCATTTTCCTATAGGCTTATAGCATCTTAGAGGCAGTATGGTTGAGAGAGACTCATCAACACCCCTACCAGTCCCTCTTCTTCGTACTACCCACCTGTTCTGGTTTAATTGCTGACTGATTTTTCTAAGCAATTCAGTGAAAGTATCTCAGAATTGCTTGGAATTTGTCTCAGGTAGAAGTAGCCCAGTATTAATAATAAAAAGACCTTCAACTGTATATGGCTTTATATCTTGAAATCATTCATAATAATTATCTAATTTAATCTTCAACTATCCCATGAAACTGGTATCATTATTAACACTTTAGATAGTGGAGAGACAAAGAAGTAATTTGCCCAAGTTATTTGGTTGGTGAAAAAAATATAGGCTTGAAACACAGGTCCTGCAAGCAGTGTGTAAATAAGCAAATAAGAACCTAGAATCTACTCTCTGGCTTGAGTTCAAATCCTAGCTTTGATCTTCATTAGATGTGTGACCCAGTGAAGATTATTTAACTTCACTGTACCTTGATTTCCTTCTTTGTTAAATGGAGGTAATAATGGTACCTATCTAACTGGGTTTGGGCAAAAGTTAAATGAGAAAATGATGTAAATGACTTGGTGCTTGGCAATGGGAAGCACTCAGTAACTGTTCAGTTCAATTCAGTTCAGTCGCTCAGTAGTGTCCAACTCTTTGCAACCCCATGGACTGCAGCACACCAGGCCTCCCTGTCTATCATCAACTCCCGGAGTTTACTCAAACTCATGTTCATTGAGTTGGTGATGCCATCCAACCATCTTATCCTCTCTCGTCTCCTTCTCCTCCTGCCTTCAATCTTTCCCAGCATCAGAGTCTTTTCAATGAGTCAGTTCTTTGCATTGGGTGGCCAAAAGTATTGGAGTTTCAGCATCAGTCCTTCCAATGAACACTAAGGATTGATCTTTAGGATGGACTGGTTGGATCTCCTTGCAGTCCAAGGGACTCTCAAGAGTCTTCTCCAATACCACAGTTCAAAAGCGTCAATTCTTCGGTGCTCAGCTTTCTTTATAGTCCAACTCTCACATCCATACGTGACTACTGGAAAAACCATAGCCTTGACTAGATGGACCTTTGTTGGCAAAGTAATGTCTCTGCTTTTTAATATGCTGTCTAAGTTGGTCATAACTTTTCTTCCAAGGAGTAAGCATCTTTTAATTTCATGGCTGCAGTCACCATCTGCAGTGATTTTGGAGCCCCCCAAAGTAAAGTCTGTCACTGTTCCCACTGTTTCCCCATCTATTTGCCATGAAATGGTGGGAACAGATGCCATGATCTTTGTTTTCTGAATGTTGAGCTTTAAGCCAAATTTTTCACTCTCCACTTTCACTTTCATTCAAAAGGCTCTTTAGTTCTTCGCTTTCTGTCATAAGGGTGGTGTCATCTGCATATCTGAGGTTATCGATATTTCTCCCTGCAATCTTGATTCCAGCTTGTGCTTCATCCAGCCCAGCATTTCTCATGATGTAGTCTGCATATAGGTTAAATAAGCAGGGTGACAATATACAACCTTGACATACTCCTTTTCCTATTTGGAACCAGTCTGTTGTTCCATGTCCAGTTCTAACTGCTGCTTCCTGACCTGCATACAGGTTTCTCAAGAGGAAGGTCAGGTGGTCTGGTGTTCCCATCTCTTGAAGAATTTTCCACAGTTTGTGGTGATCCACCCAGACAAAGGCTTTGGCATAGTCAATAAAGCAGAAATAGATGTTTTTCTGGAACTCTCTTGCTTTTTTTGATGCTCCAGCGGATGTTGCAATTTGATCTCTGCTTCCTCTGCCTTTTCTAAAACCAGCTTGGACATCTGGAAGTTCACGGTTCATGTACTGTTGAAGCCTGGCTTGGAGAACTTTGGGCATTGGTTTACTAGCGTGTGAGACAAATGCAATTGTGTGGTAGTTTGAGCATTCTGTGGCATTGCCTTTCTTTGGGATTGGAATGAAACCTGACTTTTTCCAGTGCTGAGTTTTCCAAATTTGCTGACATATTGAGTGCAGCACTTTCACAGCAACATCTTTGAGGATTTGAAATAGCTCAACTGGAATTCCATCACCTCCACTAGCTTTGTTCGTAGTGATGCTTCCTAAGCCCCACTTGACTTTGCATTCCAGAATGTCTGGCTCTAGGTGAGTAATCATACCATTGTGATTATCTGGGTCATGAAGATCTTTTTTGTATAGTTCTTCAGTAACTGTTAGCTTTCCCAAACCCAACCAGCATTCATGTTCCACTACAGCACAGCAGGCATTGTAATGGGAGGGAGTGCTAGGCCAGGCTTGATCATAACGTCCCGCTACTTCCAGTCCTGATGCCTGACATTCTCACCATTGGTTAGAGACAATAATTGTTAGAATGGCTCCATTACTTCAGAGATCTAATTAGTAGATCCTTCTAATTTTCCACATGTTCAAATTCAACTCAAACAGGAGCAAAAATGACTGTTATTTTCCCGAGATGCGATGGACAAAGGGAACAAGTTTGACTTTTCAGTTTGTAATTAAATTGGCCATTGTTTTGAGTAAGTGGCTACCAAACTCTCACAGCATATCAAGGCAAGGTACACCAGAGACAAAACAACTTTTCATTCTAACTCTGCAATGCTGCTTCCTTTCTTTCTTCCATCCAGAATGTCCTGAAGTTTACAGAGCAGGAACACCCTGACTATTACCTACTTCTGGTGTGTGTTCAGCGCCTGCGAGTATTTATCTCACACTACACCCTGCTGTTTCAGTGCAATGAGGATTTGCTTATTCAGAAACGGAAAAAGCTCAAGAAGTAAGGTTCTGACGGTGAAGTTTAGAGGGTTGACCAAAGGTTTCTGAGAACAGGGATACACATGGTCAATGTGAGTGTCTGTTACAAGTAACCAGATTGTATGTAAAGTAGCGGAAATGTAGTGGTGGAGGCAGAAGAGAAGAGAGAAGCGAATAGAAGAGAGGTGGCCAGGCTGGCTACAGGGGGGAGGTACTTACTAGCTGGTAGAACTTACTTTAGAAAAATAAGCAAGTTTGCTCTAATGTTTATGCGGAGCTTCTATTATCTCATGTTGCTAACCATCTCAAAAATAGTTATTTTGCTAAACTTGCCTGGTTTAAAATTGCAGTTTAAAGGCCAAAATCTGATTTCTTTCATTAACTCAAGAAATATTTATTGAGCACCTATGGTATATCATGGAGAAGGAAATGGCAACCCACTCCAGTGTTCTTGCCTGGAGAATCCCAGAGACGGGGGAGCCTGGTGGGCTGCCGTCTATGGGGTCGCGCAGAGTCGGACACGACTGAAGCCACTTAGTAGCATGGTATATCAAATACTGTTCTGAAAACTGAATACACTGCAAAGAACAAATCAGTCAAAAATTGTTGCCACATGCAGCTTACTTTTTAGATCTGGAGAGCCAGGTAATAAATAAGATAGATGGTTTTAAGTGCTATGGATAAAAATAAAACAAATAAGGGAGAGGGTAGTGGTTGAACAGATTTCACACTAAGAAGAAATAGGGAGGACTGAAGAAAATCTGGTCTTCAAAGGGAGCAGAAGCAACTCATAACAAAGCTTCCTAATAACCTGGAGTTTTTTCAACCTCATCTCAATCCAATGAGGAAAACAGAATCATTTCTACCAGTGCTTCACATTAAAAGAAGATGCTATCCTCCAAGTCAGGGCTCCTCTAATGGATGACACCTCCCCATACTCCCCCTACCCCCAAACTCAGTTCAGCCAATTGATCAGCATCCCTACTCCCACCCAGCAGTCAGCTTGCACTCTAATATACCAGCAACCTAGTCTGTAGAGCGCCTGGGGAGAGCGAGAACCTCACAGCTGAGATTCACCTGAGAAACTGTACTTTGCTTGGTATAATCTATACATTCAGAGTTGATTTTCCACTGAGAATTATTACCTCCACTCTGTTAGGTCATCCATGGCGAAGCTGTACAAAGGGCTGGCTTCCCAGTGTGCAAACGCCGGGCAAGACGCTTCTCCCACTGCAGGCCCTGAGGTTGTCCGTGACAGTGGGATCCACTCAGAAGAGATGCTGCAACCCTACCCTTCTGCTCCCAGTTCCGGCCCTGCTGTCACGTAAGCACCCGTTGTTGTGGAAAGGTTCATGACAACGCCCTCGCGTCCCAGGCAGTCTGTATGGGGTAGCAGGCCAGTCTGTGTGGGTTAGCAAACCAGCTTGGAGTAGGAGTATGATTTACAGGGCTCCTTCCTCCCACTCCCATCAGGTCTATATGTGGCAGGCAGACGGCTGACCCAATGTCTGGATCCCAGAGGAAGGCACTCATGCTAAGGAGCAGGCCTAGAGGCTGGAGGTTACTCCCAACAAGGTTACCACACGTAACCACCCCCACCTACAGCATGTGTCTCTCAGGTTTTGCGCAATGATAGAGTGGAAGGGAGTGCCATAAGATGACAGGAAGGCATTTTATAGCTCTCAGAAGAGTGGGGCTTTAATGTCTCCAAGAGATACAGTGGGAAAAAAGGCTATCCCAGCCAGGGGTCAGAGGAAGTCTGGGCTCTGAGGATGAGACACTGGTCTGAGATGATGCGGAATATCGATTAGCATCTCCCAATTTTCCTTGAAGCTGCTTCAGAAATAGACTTCATAACCTCTGTTCTTCACTTACAACAGCTTCTCTGAAAGCTGTTCTGGGTCGTGAATGGATGTGATCATTGTTAAAGTCTCTGCACACAACCTTTTCAAACACTAAACTGGTTTTTTCATTTAGCAAACTTCTTGATGATCTTTAGGGTAAGATTAGGCCACATATCTGGAACTCATTTTACCTCTGAAGGATAAGTGGACTTAGGCCACCTCTGAAACTAGGACTTCTGGAAGGATCAGGGAAACCAAAACTCAAAATTCCAAATCCCCACTTTACCAAATATAGACAATTCTCCCCAAATAATTCCTCAGACTATAATTTCTGCTTTGGGTTTTATTAAGGAAAAATTAGAAATCATGCAAAAAGCTACTTTTCTAATATTATAATGAAGAGAGAAGCAGTTGAGCTTATTTTATTTTTTAATCACTAGTTTTTAGAATGCAAATTACAATCATGGAAGGAGCAACTGATCAATAACTCAAATCCTGTTTGCTTTTTGCCTTCATCTCTTGAATTGAGAACACTTAGCAGTAAGAGATGGTGGAGAAGGAAATGGCAACCCACACCAGTATTCTTGCCTGGAGAATCCCATGGACAGAGGAGCCTGGTAGGCTACAGTCCATAGGGTCGCAAAGAGTTGGATACAACTGAAGTGGCTTAGTACAGCATAGCACATCAGTGAGAGATGAAGTGCAAATGTGCAGTCAGGAGGGTGAAATTTCATAATCATTCTGAAAATCTGAGACATTAATCTTTCTATACATAAAGTCTAGGATGATTTTCCTACTATAGAGAAAATCCTAGAAGACCTGTAGAGAGAGTACACCACACAGAAAAAAATACCTTTCCTGGGAGGGGAGAGAGACAGGAGATGGAATTTTTTTTGTGGACCACTTCAGCTTTTTTTCACTTCTGTTAAGACAACGATAAAACTATCTTCTTTGAAGTTAAGACTTATGCTGCCCCAAAATGAAATCCCTAGAGGTTACACCCAGAAAAACATGGCTGCCATGGCACTCTGTTGGGAAAATAACCAGAAAAGAAACCCAAGTCTTCCAAGTTAAAAGAGAATTCAAGTCAACATTCCATTTTACTATATTTTCACCTTTGTAAATGTGACACCTAATTTTTAACTTAAGACCATCAGACAAAATAGTGTTACAGTTTATTTCTGCACTCTTTATGCATTTTTTGTGGTAAAATTTAGTATAAATAAATAAGCTAACACAACAACTAGTTTGGGTCAGTGTGCAGTAGTCCACTCTTATCTGGCAATTAAATTCCAGCAGAACTAGCAAGTCACATCCAATCTGATGCGTATGCTATCCAAGTATCCAGTGTGAATTATTCTTTATCCACGATTAAACAAAAAAATAACTCTCCATGAAATCGGGCATATTCAGAGTGACAAACTTTTCATTTTGGTAATGTTCTTGTGGATGGAAGTTTGAGACGACTTATATAGTATGCTTTATAGCCACAGGGAATTTTTTAGTTTATTATGAAAATGTCAAATATATACAAAAGCAAAATGTCCAGTGAACCCCACATACCATCATCCAGATGTTTTTTACTTCATCCAGATGTTTTTTTTACTGCTTACTTCATCTGGGAATTTAATTGCTCTTAAGCAGGAAGATCCTTGAGTTGAACAAAAGTTGTTTCCATGATTTTCTATGACTCTGCTAGGACAAAAAAGGGAGAGAAGAGAGAAAAAGATGTGCCTTGGGGCCTTGACACATGGTGGAGAGGGTCAGCGCTGAGCATCCTTGGCCTACCAGCCATCTCTACACAGTGCCTCTGGGCTCAGACGGGTACTTCCAGGATCCTCTTCACAGACGGTTATTTTCACTCTCCCACTTGGGGGACCAGGGCTCCTGGGGACTCCTTAATTTGACAATCCTGTGGCGCTTGATAGGTAACACACAGAGGCGCCTGGGAGGGCCGGAGAAGAGGGAGCAGACAGTTTGCATCTAACCGGTATCTGGTAGGCACTGTGTGGTTCCTGGCCTCGCGCTGCTCGGGGACAGGCGCGCACTAATACACCGTAAGCACACCTCTTTTGTATTGTCTCCCCTTTAAAGACATTTGATGCCCCCAGTGAAGAAAAGCCAACAGCAGCAAAGCTTGATGGAGAGCATGCAGCCCGGGAAGCCCAGTGACTGGGAGATGGAGGGCAGAAAGCACGAGAGGCCCGAAAGCCTCCTGGCGCCTGCGCAGTTCTGTGCCGCTGAGCAGGACGTGAAGGCGCTCGCCGGGCCCCTGCAGGCCATCCCGGAGATGGACTTCGAGCCGTCTCCGGCGGAGCAGCTGGGCAACGTGGAGCGCTCCCTGCGCGCCCCGGCCGAGCTCCTGCCCGACGCCCGCAGCTACGTGCCCGCGGCCTACGAGGAGTTTGAGTATGGCGGCGAAATCTTCGCGCTGCCCGCGCCCTACGACGAGGAGCCCTTCCAGGCTCCGGCCCTCTTCGAGAACTGCTCGCCCGCCTCTTCCGAGTCCAGCCTGGACATCTGCTTCCTGCGGCCCGTCAGCTTCGCCATGGAGGCCGAGCGGCCCGAGCACCCGCTGCAGCCGCTGCCCAAGAGCGCCACGTCACCGGCGGGCAGCAGCGGCGCCTACAAGCTGGAGGCGGCAGCGCAGGCGCACAAGGCCAAGCCGCTGAGCCGCTCGCTCAAGGAGTTCCCGCGCGCGCCGCCGCCCGAGGGCGTGGCCCCGCGCCTCTACAGCACGCGCAGCAGCAGCGGCGGCCGCGCGCCGCTCAAGGCCGAGCGCGCCGCGCAGGCGCACGGCCCAGCCGCCTCCGCTCGCGGCGCGCCCCGGACCTTCTTTCCCCAACAGAGGTCCCAAAGCGAAAAGCAGACCTATTTGGAAGTAAGGAGGGTAAAGTAAAACCAACCCCAAACCCACAGCGCTGGCAACCCCGGGCCTAGATCTCCAGGGGTGCAGCCTGGGCTCACCTAGCGTGGAGGGGAACGCAGGATGGCCAGGCGGGGGCAGCAGAAGACGCTGAGAGCCCGTGTTACTTACAGGCTTGTCCGTCAGTGGTCCTCGGAGGAAAGTGTTAGCTCTCATTCTTCAGGGCCAGGACGCAGGAGCATGCCGTACCTGTGTATGTGTATGATGACAAAAAGACTAGGAATCCTTAGACCTGCTTAAAACACCCCCCGCCCACCACCACCAAGTTAAAAGAGTTACAGGTGTTCTCTGCTTTCCTGCTTAAGCTGTGGCACCTCCCAGATGCAGTTCATATGCAAAACACTTCACAGAAGTCCCAGGGGCTGTGTCTTCTTTGCCTATTAAACGCACCCCTTATTGTTCAAAATATCGAGCCCTGTGTGCTAGCCTACTGTACTTCCTGACCTGCACCCTTGTTTATAGCTAGGGAGGAGGCAAGTTGCCCTTTCTCCCTGAGGATTCCTGAAAAGTTCATTTCCACTTGCTTTCCTTTTGCCTGGAAAAGGGTGTCATGGTACTTTGCAGACTCCAGTTGGACGAAGACAGCACCAAACTGTCCAGAAAGCATTGACTCACAAACACCTTCTTTGGCCTCTATATGGATGTTTGGTATTTTGATGTTTGATCTTGACATCTGCAAACCTTGGGACATTTAAAGAAGTGTTTAAATACATATTCGTGAAAGGACTAATAGTTCCTGAGTAAACAGTGTCTTCGCTAGTGATTGGAACGAAGGCAATTTCTGATTAGGTAGAGAGTAGCAGAGTGGCTCTGAGCTGCGCCCCTGTTTAACATTTTAGAAGCAGGGTTAGGATTTACAGGGCAGCACAAGGTGATTGAAACACCTTGAAAATGACAGTCCAGGACTGCCCTTCACTAAGTGTCTCTTACATCCAGCACTAGGGATCCTTTGCCTCCAGGAGAAATGATTTTCCAACAGGAGTGAGGGCCCTGCATTCCACCTGTTCCTATTTCTAAAGGAGTGGGAAGAGGTTGAAGATCACTGACTCCATTCATTTTTCAGCAAATCCTGACTGCCTGCCTCACCCCAGGCTCTGTGCTAAGCGTTGAGGGTTCAGAAATAAACGACATCCAGTCTCTGCCTTCCAAGGCCACTGGCTTAGCCCTGAAGGAGACACATAAACAGAATTATAATAAACCATGGGAGCACATCAGTGGGTCTCTATTTCAACCCTCAGAGAAGTTTCAGATAGTTTGAATGTCTGTATTCAATTTTAAAAGCTGCTTAGCTATTGGCTAAGTGAAGACTGGTGTAGGAAAATATAAAGAAGAAAGCTCAGGGGCCTTAAAAAAAGAAAAAGGCAGGAGTGAGTCTTCTTTTGAATACTTTCCCAGCTGGGAGTGGTGGATATTAAGCCAGAGGAACATGAAGAACCTTGGAGTTTCTAGCCCATTTGGACTCCAGAAATCAAAGTCTGTGTCTGGCTCCTGAAAGGCAGAAATACCTTAGTGTGCCCAGCTAAGGTTGCTGAGGGGCCCTGCCTGGGATTCTCAGATTTCCTTCTGCCTCTAATTTTCAACTCTGAACTTTATACTGTTTTACTAGGTAAAATTTCTTAGATAAATCAAAGTTAGGCATGTGTCAAAGTTTAAAAATTTAGGGACTTGTCTGGCAGTTCAGTGGTTGAGACTCCGTGCTTCCAATGCAGGGGAGGGGTGGTGGTGGCATGAATTTGATGAGTTTGATCCATGGTCAGGAAACTAGGATCTCACATGTTGCACAGCATGGCCAAAAAAAAAAAAAAAAAAGTGGATGAGACAATGAAAGAGATATATATATATTTTTAAAGTTTATTAACAAAGGAAGTAGAAAATACTAGTGCCAACTCAAAGTGACTTTGAATGGGCAGAGATATACATCCAAAATCTTTTAACTCCTATAGTATAAGCTCCAAAGAATGCTTTTATTTCATATGCTCATACAAATCTCTTTTTGTTGATGTGTGAAAAATTGGGAGCTCACCAAATGGTTTCGCCAGGCTAAAACCAGAGTGAGATGGGGTTTTAGTTGCAAAAGATGAGCCCTTCAAAAGCCACATCTGTGAAGATATCAGCACTTTCCTGATGAGGTGTGCAAAGCTCCTAGGGTTCCATCTCCTCAGATATACTGTGTATTTACCATCCTTGCCCTCAGAGCCAGCCAAACCCTAGTCCTTAGTGTTCTGTCTCTAAGAGTCAAGAAAGAAGACAATATGCTTTAGTGGCAAGAGCACCTGACTGGGAGTCAGGAGACCTGTGTTCTAATCCTGACTCTGCTACCAAATAGCTGTGTGCTTCTGGACAATTCATTTGGCTTTTCTGCCTCCAGTTTTCTCATCTGTGACATAAGACAATCCATATCTTACCTACCTCACAGAGTTGTTGTGAGGATAAGGCCAAATAAGATAAAGTTTGTGAATATGCTTTGTAAAGTGTGAAATGCTACACAAATGCAAGATTTTACCAAGATCATGATTCTACAGAAAGATTTTCCTTCAACTGTTAGTAGATTTAGTTCATAAAAAGTCCCTAAAAAGCCCACTTCTGAAGATATGGTCCTGGCACGAGTGGTAAATGCTTTACCTGTGAGCTTGTTATAGATGCAGAATTTGGGCTCCACCCGTGACCAACTGAATCAAAATCTGCGTATTAGCAAGATTCCCAGGTGATTCATGTAAACATTAAGTGCAGGTGGGCAAGAATATACCCTAAACTGCTGGTTTTTCTCATCTGTGTGCAAAAAGATTAGCTAGGCCTAACTTCAGAGATTCTGATTCAGATAGTCTGGCTTAGGGCTCAGGAGCCTATGTTTAAACGAAAGCCCCAGTTGATCCTATAGCCCCAGGACCACACTTTCAAAAATGCTACACTCAGCCATCAAAATGTTGATCTCTATTATTTAGTTATGAATCTTAGTAGAATCCCAACAAATCCCTAGATCTAGTGTCTTAATTAGCCCAGGTTTGCTTTAGTTGGAATAGGTGCCTGTCATTAGTCTTTTGGGGTGGGAGAGGAAAGTGAGAGGTTAAAAAAAATTGTCCCATAGTCAGGATCAACGTTAACTTTGGAAAAGAGTAAAAATACACCCCTCTTTTGTATTTCCAGGAGATGCATTTAGAAGATGCCACCAGATTCTGTCCAAAGGAAGAAAGAGAAAGCGAACAAACATCTTTCAGCGATCAAAACCCCAGGCAAGACCAGAAAGGGGGCTTTCGCAGCTCCTTCCGCAAGCTCTTTAAAAAGAAGTGAGTAGCCCTTGACAAGACAGCACTGTAACTCATTTCCCTGTGGGCTAAGTCCTGAGGTTTTAACAGTGACAAGTAGCCTGGTCTTACACAGCGGCTGCAAGCTCAGTGCCTGTACCCAGTAGCCACAGTTCCTGCCAGGTGAAGATGTTTCTCACTGTGACCTCCTAGAGTAAAAGCAACTCGGCTCTGTCCTCTGCCGCCTCTGTCTTTTAGCCCCGCCTCCTTGTTCCCAGAGTCCCGTGTCCTGGGAGGAGTGGGCAGAGGAGGTCTCCTGGGAAATCCCCATGGGCGCGAGGAGTGGGATCCCCTATCGGGGTTGGGTGTAATGGGTGGGAGGTTTTCTCAGGCATCGCAGCTCTTCCGCCTGTAGGGGCCTGTAGTTATCCTGGTTGCTAGTGCATATCTGGGGCACATCTGCCTGTGTTTTCCCTAGCACAAATGATTGGATGGATTTGGCTTGGGTCCTACTTAAAAAATCACTTTAATGGAGTTTCCGTACTCCATAGGAGGCAAAAACAAGGCATTTCTTTCCTGTGGTCCTTCTAAGAGTCTCAGCCCTTGCTGTGTGATATCACCCACTTGTCATTTTGGTCAGCACTTACAAGCACTGTCTCACAGAGTGGGAGGCATTGGCCAAATGCCAGCATGAAACTAAGATGAAAGCACTGAATGTTAGCGTTTGGCAGTGGAGGGGTCTCCAAGCCAGCCAT